GACAGGTGCTCTGCTGCATGAACTACGAAGTGCAAAACAGGTGAGTGCCTGCATGTCTGCTAGTTGAATGTGCTTGTCGATGCTTGTGCCTGCTTTGCACTGTGTGCAACTCTGCATGTCTGCTAGTTGAATGTGCTTATTGATTTGCTGCAAGACAGGTGCTCTGCTGCATGAACTACGAAGTGCAAAACAGGTGAGTGCCTGCATGTCTGCTAGTTGAATGTGCTTGTCGATGCTGCAAGACAGTCCGGAAGTGTCCGGTGTCCGGGTCCTCGGTTGCCATGCTGTAGAGTCTTCCGTCTGCTGTGGGTGAGTTCTAGTCTGCTTTTATTTTTGTGTCACAGGTAATCCACCCTTGAGAGCAGTGGTCGGTGGTCCCCACATGCTCGAAGGGGTATCACTGCTTGTATTGGGGCAGTGGTTGGTGCCCACCTGCAGATGGGTTCAAGGTGGATTATCATTCCCAGTATCATTTATCGGGTAGAGGACTCTGCAGACTGTACAGGGTTCAGCCTCCAATGAAACAGTCTGTCACGGGCCCCTGCTTCTTGTCATTCTCCACATTTCTGCCTATGGGCTCACCGCCGAGTACCGGGCAGTTTTCAATGGCTATCGGCTTTGCTCCACTACAAAACATTCTCAATATATGTGCGCAGATAATGGTCCCAATGCATTCAGAATGTTCCATCAGTCCGAACGTATCTGGCCCACGATGCAGTCCAGAATGTTGAGTAGCGGAGCGACGCCCTATACATATGCACTTTCCAGTCTTTCCACAGCCATTGGACATCCGCAGCATAGGGGTCACACACTGGCGCAAAGTAACCCTCACCGCCAAAACCTACCCCCCTGAGCTCCAGCCACTGTCCCCTCTTTGCTTCCTGAGAAGGACAAAGCAAATCAAGAATGAACTGAAAGCAGATCTTTACCCACTCACACCCCTGCACCCTTTCTCAGTGAGGGCAAGTCCGAGTCTAAGTCCGACAGACCTTTTCTCCTTTTTGTTTTGCTGCAAGATAACATACAGTCATTTGAATTTAATTATCAGAAAAAGAAAAAGGAAAAGAAAAGAAACGTACCCTCAGTGCATCAGGCGGCGGCCTAAAGCTTGGCTCCAAGAAGTCAAATGGGTCTCTCCTCGGCTTCCGCTCAGCTGTTGACTTCAACGTTTCTGAAGGTGACGACGATGTGCTGACCGACAAGTTCTCCTCTATACCCACATGAAGAAAAAAAAAATCAAAAAATACAATTCATTCCAGAGTGTAATTAAATTAAAAAAAAAAAAGTCAAACGTCAAACAAGTTCTTTTGTCTGCTGACCGACATACAGACAAAAGAACTAAAACAGCAAAAGCAGCAGAAGGCTGATGACGAGCAGAAGTCCATGCAGAGGGAGACCATAACTGTGACTAAGCAAGCCGGAGAGAGAGGGAGGAGAGAGAGGGAGGAGAGAGAGGGAGCAGGGAGGAGGGAGGAGGTACAGACAAGGGCAAGGAAAGGGACACAAGAAAGGGAAGACCAGGGGCGGGGGAGGTGGGGGATGGACCAGAAGAAGGGCTTGCAGTGAGAGAACAGAGGAGGATACGCTGGACTAAGAAAACAGGAGAGAGAGGAGAGGAGAAGGGAAGGGAGGGGGCCAGAGGCGAGGGGGGAGGAAGCGAGGAGAAGAGGGCAAAGAAATGAACTCAAGGACGGACGAGAGGGAGTAGGAGAAGCAGCAGGAGAGGGAGGGAACGGCTGGGAAGGTGGAGGGGGATAACCGTGGAACATGGAGCAAGTAGACAGGAGGGAGGAAAAGAGAAGGTGCAGAGGACACGAAAGGCAGCGCAAAGAGCGCGCGCGCGCGCGCGAGAGAGAGAGAGAGAGAGAGAGAGAGAGAGAGAGAGAGAGAGAGAGGACAACTATCCCCCTGCACAACCTTCTGTATAGCAAAAATCAAATAAATACAAAAAGAAGGGAAGAATTAAGAGAAGTATGACAAAGACAGAGCTTGGAGAAGGAACTGGTCACACACTCCTATACCATCCTCAACCTGCACTACCTTTAAAAAAAAATAAGCAAAAACAACAAAATAAAAAACAAAGAGAGAGAGGGAGGGAGGTGGTGCACATGGATAAAAAGGAGGACGAGGAGGTGCTGGGAAAGGGAACCGATCGAGCAGGAGGAGACAGCGGGACGCAATGATGACAACGATTTTGAAATATATATTTGGACCATACAATAAGACTACTGGAATTAGATCTTCTTTTTTTCTTTTGTTTTCTTTGACATCCTAATTATATCATGACATGCAACAAGTTTAAACGTACAAAATTGATGTTCACAACAAGTACACAAGGACTCCATCAACTGCAATCAACTCACTCTTCATCAAAAAACAAGCAGACTTCAGTAGTGGTGTGTCCCTGAAGGAAGTATATGAAAAAGCAAGTGACCTGGTCCCCCAGTATAGATGGGGCTAGTCTTTTGGGAAAAAAAAAAAAAAAAAAAAGCATGTGACCTCTCACCTGCACTGGCAGGCAGATCCTGTCCAAGGACAAAGGATGTAGCCAGACTTATAGCACCAGCTACAAGGAGGCCTCGCCTTCCTCGTTGAAGAACCCATGGTAATTCCTCTGCCTCACCTATTAATAGATCGAACGGATTCAAACCCCCAAAACGGATTCGAACACCAGAACAGTAGTCAGAAAGGGGTTCTTAAGCCCCCTTTTAAACCAGCCCCGTATTTGTCCTTCGGGACATCCGTTAAAATTGGAACGATACAGAGAAGATTAGCATGGCCCCTGGGCAAGGATGACACGCATAAATCGAGAAATGGTCCAAATTTTTGAAAAAAAAAAACAAGAAAAAAACAGCCCCGTATTTGCCGGAACGGATTCGAACCCCCAAAACAGATTCGAACACCAGAACAGTAGTCAGAAGGGGTTCTTAAGCCCCCTTTTTTTTAAACCAGCCCCGTATTCGCCGAATGAAACTCGTAGGCTCGTAGCCATGGTAAGCCTTCTGGGTTGCCAGTGCCTCGTCGATCTAAGTTCAGATTTTTTTTTTTTTTTGGGGGGGGGAGGGGACGAGGGAAAAACAATTGCACACTTAGAGGTTGTTTTGCTGGGCGCCCGGGCATGCACCTCTTTTGTGCCCGGACATATGACCGGGGGGCCGGCCGCCCAGGGTTCCACGCAGCCCCAGAGCGAATTAAACCAAAAAAAGAGAATTTCAGAAAAAAAACAAAAAATTGAAAATTCCAGGAAAAAAAAAAAGTTGTGTAGAATTGCAATACAAACGACTTTTGGCTATGATTGCTGTGTTTTGCATGCTAGATCTTCTACTTTTTTTATGTGTTCTTTGAAAGTGTTTTAAATTTCAATCCCTATGTTTATTATTATAGGGGTATGGGGTTCTAGACAGAGAAAAATACGAGCAGCATTATGATATCAGTTTAAACGGTCACATCAGAATTCCCCATGTATTTGAAGATTTGTTTTCTTTCACCCCCCCCCAAAAAAAAAAGAAATCTTTTTTTTTTTTTTTTTTGGTGGGAAAAAAAAATCATTTATTCGAAGATAGAAAAAGAAAACAACAGAACCAGACTAAGGCACCCCCCTTTAAACCCCTTTGGCCCCTTGAAAATCAATTATACCCCCCTTTCCCCCCCCCCCCCCCAATAGAGAAAGGAGCCCGAATTTGAGCTCCGCTGGGCACGCACAGAGGACCCCTACTCAAAAAAGGGAAAAAAGGGAAGAAAGAAAAAGGGCTGATTTTTGCCTGCACGGGGTGCCCCGTGCAGATGACCCCCAGGCGACTTGCCCAGGGTGCACAACCGGGCGAGCGAGCCAAAGTAGCCTAGATGCAGACGCATTTTTCTTTAAATGCACATGCGTTTTCTTTTTTATGTTGCCGATGCGTTTCTATATTCCAGAGAGTCAGACCTCTGTTCTCGCCTTGATCCCCCCTCCCAATTCCTAGAACCATTCATACCTTTTTCTATTCTCTTCAACTTCTCCTGTGTAAGAGAGAGAGAGAGGCAATGTGATGACACACATGACAAAGACAAAGGCAAATTTGTAGGGGCCGCTCTCCAAATTCTACATTAAGTACTCCGGGGTACCATAATGTGCAGATCCAATGTGCGTGCGTGTGTGTGTGTGTGTTTCAAGAAACCCCAAACTCTCCCTCTCTCATTCCATCCACAAATCAGCCCAAACCATCCATGAAACACAAGAAGGTATAGATAGGCAAACTAGTAGAAGATGCAAGGTCAACCACCTTTTTTTGGTTAAGCGTCAAGTACCCACACACCTGTCTGCCGTCAAAGCGGCATAATATTATACATTATAATATATATTGTCACAGAACTATTGACTATATATTGTCACACGGTGTCACAGAACTATTGACTATATATGTATATGTATATATCGTCAAACAGAACTGCCTACGGTAAACCGTAGGCAGAGAGGGACAAAAGGGAGAAGAGGACAACAAACGAGGGGTGGTAACAAACTGTTTCGTCGGAGTTTCACCTACCGACTCATCAGGAGGCTGAACCCTCAACAGCGTGCAGAGTCCCCTAACTGATTACGCTGTAAGTGATAATCCACCTTGACCCCGGTTGTGGTCAAGTATCAACGACTGCCCGACAGCTGATACCCCTCTGAGGTGGTGGGGACCACCAACCACTGCCCTCAAGGTACCTTTGACGAAAATCGAAACAGACTATCACTCACCCACACCACATGGAAAACTCTACAGACTGTCGGTTCACACCCCCCATCATCAGAAGCCAGCAAAACACCCACGAATATTATATATCCTCAAACATACGTACATATCGTCAAACAGGTGCCTACGAGAGGAGTCTGGGAGAGGAAATCGGGCTGGTAGTCCTTTGAAGAGAGATACAGAGAAGATTTGCATGGCCCTTGTGCAAGGGTGACACACCATAAAATTAACTCTTGCCACGTGGCCCACGTGGCTGCCTGCTTTATCTGCCACGTCAGTTTACTGACACAAGAGAGCAAGGATAAGAACGCCACGTGGCAGATAGACAGACACCCAGCCAGAGAGAGATCCAACGACAAGAAAAACCACGTAGCCTCGAGCAGATTACATAGAAATTAAAAAAAAAAAAAAAAAAAGGCTGCTCCCATCTTCAGCCGGATGAGACGCCTGGGTCATTATAGCTGTATTTCGCGCAAGTTCCAGTCTATGTACAGCGATAATGTACCCGGCGTTCTATTCAGGGGAAGACGGTACTGAAAGGGCGAAGTTCAGTGTGCATATAAGCTGGGTGCCTGGTTATATCGAATTCAAGATCAAAATGTTTTTTCTTTTTTTGACAGAACAAAAAAAAACAAAAGTTTCTAGATAAGGGTGTAGAATCTGTAGATCAATCGATACTTTTGCGGATAAGGTATAAGATCAATCAAAAGTTAATTCTGTGGATAAGACGTATATTAAATCAATCACTGGCAAAAAGTTTATGTTATGGATAGATGTATAGATAAACTATTGTGGATAAGGTTATGGATCAAAGTTAATTTTTGTCTAGATGTATAGACCTTAAGTTAATTTTATGGCTAGACGTATATAGATTAACCATTGGCAAAAAGTTAATTTTATGGCTGGAAAAAAAGTATAGATCAATCATAAGTTTGTGGATAAGTTTATGGATCAATCAAAGTGTTCCTGGATAAGGGTATATATTGATTAATCGAAAGTTCGTGGACAAGGGTATATACTATATAGATCAATCAAAAGCTTGTCTGTAAGGGCAAAGAATCTTAATATAGACCAATCATTGACAAACGTTTTGGGTAGAATGAAAGGATTTCACGACATCATGGAGTCTCTTGTATAATTTCAATTGTTTAGGGGGCAGGCAGATAATTGTTCAATTTGGGCTACCTTCTTCTCCTTAATAGAACGTACGGGCATTCTCGCTGCATCTGGACCGACATGTGAGCCAAATACGTCCATAATGACCGAACGAACGTTCTATTCGGGGGAGAAGACGGATTGCCATCACGCTGCTTTGACCGAGTGTTTGGTGCAACTTCGGTGTGATGCGCGTTGCGATTTGAGCTTTAAAAAATCGACCTGGTTTATTTCAATAAGGACAGATCAATCAAAAGTCCGTTGATAAGGGTATAGGGCCTATAGGCCAATCAAAAGTCCGTTGATTAGAATCTATAGATCAATCAGGTTTGATCTATAGGCAAATCAAAACCCTGATTGATCTATAGATTCTAATCAACGGACTTGCGATCGATTGATCTACAGAATCTATAGATCAATCAGGGTTTTGTGGATACGGGTATAGGGCCTATAGGCCAATCAAAAGTTCGACAATATGATATGTCAGCAAATGCCGACTGCCAGCCATCTTACACACAATACGATGATTGATAGCACTTCAGTCGAAGGGTCATCTGAACCGCAAGAAATTGTACCCTTCGCGACCCCGTCCGCCCTTTGGGCAACGTCCCTTGGGGRGGGGGGGGGGGAGGAGGGGTAGACACGACTGTTAATTACCGGCCCCCAAAGCCATAAATAGATCTGCAAAGAGACATCCCAATATCGGTCAAGCAGATGCTTCTGCTGGTGAACCTGAACGTCATTGGAGTCTACATTCTTGCCCACGTTATTGATGTCCTGACCACTATTTTTCCAGCATCTTCAGCATCCCTCACCATCGCCAATTTTTTTACCCCCCTTCTTTCTTTTTTTGTTCCTTCTTTTTGAAATTAGCATAATCACAATGTTAAAATGAATGATGAGCAATTAAGCATTCGCTCGCACCTGCGTCGCTGCCATTCTCATGCGAGCCTGTTCTGCATGCATCCAGGCAAGAATGTAGACTCGAATGGCGTTCCGATTCACGCGCAGAAGCACTGCTTGGCTTTTCAACTGCGCAGACCTTCAACGAAAAAAACACATACAAGTCACAGAAATTACTTTTTGTCGTTTCCTTGACAGCTATTGCCATCGCCAGCCTTCCAAATAACCTGAGTGAGTGTGCGACGTGGCGACGTGTAGATTCACCTGCTCGCCACGTCGCACAGCTCCCTCACGGGAGCCACCGGCTGAAGGAACAGGAGCAGGAGGAAGCAGGAGGAGATGAGGAAGAAAGAGGAGCAGGAGAAGGAGGAAATGAGGAAGAGAGAAGAAGATGAAGAAGAAGAAGAAGAAGAAGGAGAAGAAGAAAGAGAATGAAGAGGAGGAAGGAGGAGGAGCAGGAGGTGATGGAAGAGATGCGCAGGAGGAAGAGAGGGAGAGGAGGGGGAGGAGGAGATGGGAGGAGATGGACGGGGAGATGAAGAAGGGAAGAACCGCAGCAGAAGAAGAAGAAGAACGACAAGAAGAAGAAGAAAGAGGAGGAACACGAAGAGGTGGAAGGAGGAGGAGGAGGAGGAGGAGCAGGAAGAGATGCGCAGGTGGAAGAGAGGGAGAGGAGGGAGAGGAGGAGATGGTGGGGATGGAGGAGATGGACGAGGAGATGAGGAGGTGAAGTGGGGGGAAGAAGAGAAGACGAAGGAGGAGGAGGAGGAGGAGGTGGAAGAAGGAAAAGAAAAAAAAAGGAAGAGGGGGGCGGAGGAAGAGGAAGAAGAAGGCGACCGAGAAAAGACAATGCCCGTTTCAGGCAGGAGGCAGGGGGTACCTTGGGCTGACCGTTCACATTGACTAGCGTCGACGAGGATCGAGGACCACCATTCCAAAACCTGTTGGTCGAGCTCGATTTTTTATGGACATCATCATGAATTTGGCGAATAAATCTGCACGGAATAATCTGCAAGGAAGAAGCCACCGCCATGCTGCAGGCAAGCTCTTAGTCCACCGACTTTTTATCTCAACAATCACATTTCGCGGAGATCATTCACAGCTCCACTGCTCTCTCTCTCTCTCTCTCTCTCTCTCTCTCTCTCTCTCTCTCTCTCTCTCTCTCTCTCTCTCTCTCTCTCTCTCTCTCTCTCTCNTCCCTGGTACTCATAGTGGAAATTGCTTGGTTCATGTGTCCTTGCACTACCGAAGATGGAAATTCTCAGTCGAGGTCCACTGATCCCGTCAACGATTGAAACGCGAGTAGTTAGGAAAATTGTCTTTGTCGTAGATGACCGACATCTGTGGTTGCGAACAAGGTGGGTAGTCTCTGTCTCTTATACACATCTAGATGTGTATAAGAGACAGGTGTGTGTGTGTGTGTGTGTGTGTGTGTCTGTGTGTGTGTGACAGGCAATTACGTGGCACATGTCTTCGCCAATCCTCTTTGAGTGAATCCACCTCCTTTCCATAGCGATGTGCACTCCTCACGCACACAAATCCATTGATCAGAGGAGAGACGAGGAATTGACTTGCGGGAAAAAAAAAAGAAAAAGAGGAACAAGATGGGAAGGGCACCGAAGGACGAGGATATGACTGGTAAAAAAAAAAACAAGGAGAAAATTAGTGCAAAATTCACAGACTCCTTCGAGGCATTAACATTATTCCAACTGGATTTCGATAATAAATAATTTCTCTGAATCAGAAGGGCACAGAACGACGAGGAAAAGACTGATAAAAAAAACGACAAATAAAAAAGGAGGAAAATCGTGCAGAATTCACAGGCTCATTCGGAGCCTTTGGATTATTCCACATGCATTTCGCATCAATTTGTCGAAGAAAAAGAAAAAAAAATTCCTCCTTTTACCATGTGGAATCCAAGAGGTCATGTCATTTCGAATCTTCACTTCATGTGTGTCAAAGTACAGGACGATCGCGTGGGGCGCTTTTTTAAGCATAAAGGGAACGTATTGTATTTATTGATTATATTGATTATATTGATTATATTGATTATATTCCTAATTCCCTGTTTCATTATGGGATTTATATATATTCTTGAATATTGAATTTATTACTATTTCACTAATGTCATTTCTTACATAAAACGGAAGTATACACCTCGTTTGTTATATTATTAGCATGCATAAAA